CCTCCCAGATGTGCATTAGCAAGAAGTTGGATCGGAAGCAGAATAGCCAGGACTCAGACTAGGCACGACAATATGCGATGCAGGTGGCCCAAGTAGGGACTAACCACTGCACCACTCACCTGCTCCAAGCACTTTTTGTTGTTGATGTTGTTACTGATTAAGTACCCTTTAGTGAACAAATATGGGTCCACATGCTACAACAAGGACGAGACTTGAAAACATGGTAAGTAAAGAAACCAGTCACACAAGACCACATATTATATGGTTCTATTCTTATGCAATGTCCAGAATAGGGAAATCTATAGAGATTAAAAGCAGGTTAGCACTAGTTTAGGACTGGGGTGGTAAGAGGTGGAATATGATGGCTAAAGGGAACCAGTTGCCTTTTTCGAGGTCATAAAAATACTCTAAAATTGGTGATGGTTGCACTTATCTGTGAATCTACTAGAAGTTATTGAGTTGTACACTTTAAATGGGTGAATTGTATGGTATGTGAATTATTTCCCAATAAAGCTGTTTAAAGTGACATGCTACCTTGAAGCTACATGAAATTGTCCAGGCCGTCTCGGTGTGACACTCAGGCTCTGGTTTTTTAGCCTCTCCCTGCTTTTGGAGGCAGGGATTTTATTCCCCACATTTCTAATTGGGAGAAAACCTCTTTATAAAGAGAGGAGACTCCTCCCCGTTCACATCCAAAGAGGTGCCTGTAAGTAGAAACGATAGCATTGCAGAGAGAAATAACGCACAGATGAAACAATTGTGTGGACAAGAGATGAGAAAGTTCTCACTTTCATCTTCAGAATGGCGGATGGACTTACTGTTACAAAGGAAGCTACCAGCTGATAACACTCCCATGCTTCCCTTCCACCCTCAGCCCACTCCCCTCCAAACCCAACTGACGGACGTGAAATGCCACTTGCCTTGGCCTTGATGCATAGCAGCCAGTCAGGAAGTAGGACGGCCATGGTCCTGACTCACACTTGATTCAGGTTTTGAGCTCTGAGGCACACTCAAGCTATCATTTCTCTCCACCCTCAAACCTGACACACATGTATGCTCATAACTTCTTTGGAACAGAACTTCACAGCGAAGTGGGCTGACTTGATGTTGCCTGAAAATATTTACTGGATTCAGATCAAGATTAAGAGATACAGTTTCAAGTATTCTGCCTGCTCAGGAATGCACGTGACTCATTATCTGGGAGACAAGGGTACTGCTTGGGGACTGCTGGAGCCCAAATAGGTACAAGAATTCCTACTTGAACACACTCCAGTGTGTATCAGAAAACACCGTCAAGACCCAAGAAAGAAAAGTCTAAAGGGATTTCCAGGTTTCAGGCCAGAAATTGCCTTGGGGGTACTAGAAAAGAAGTTAGATGCCTAATTTGAAGAGAGGTCAGAGAGAAAGGTGACATATCCTGGTCGTGAAATTCTATGCAAGCTTTTAAATCTGAAAAATAATTCCGCTTATATTCTTTGTGTGTGAAGGACCCTACTGAATTTGGCATTGTTTCCTAAGCCACCAGATTGTGAAAGGATTAACAGCTGGCCAGGGCCAGAGCTGATGGAATAGTTCTTGTTTCTCTCTTACTCTGGGCCAGGTCAGGCAGGGTGCCAGTGAGGGCTCGGTACTGGGCCAGAAGGAGGTTGGATGGCAGGTACCAAAATGCATGTGGGGGGAATGAGTTCTGGTGGCCCACAGCACAGGGGTGACCGTGGCACATACTAACCCATTACATGTTCTGTGAAAACCAGGAGAGAAGAGCTCCATGGCTCCCAACATGAATGGTAAGGACATGGAAATGCTAATGGCTCTGATTTTATCAGTACATATCGCATACATATATTGAAATATCGCACTACTCTATATATATGTTATGATTATTACAGGTTAAACAAAAAGTAAGAAAAATTATGTTGGAATCAGGAAGAAAAACAAAGATGCAGATGGGCAGAGGTGCTGTTGGTTGGCGGAACATCTGCTTTTTAACCACCATCTGTACTTCTTCAGGATGCAACTGAGAAAACAAAGGGGATGCCAGCTTTGCACACTCTCACCTCTTCATCATGTGCACAAACATGCACCTTCACACCCCTCACTCACCTTTGCCTCCGTGTTGGAGAAAGATGAGTCAGACACGCATGGGCACAGTCATAAATCATTCCAGAGCATTTCCAAGATCAGAGACAAGAATCTCTAGGTTTTGGTACTACCGTAGTCCCCCCGTTAACTCTTTCTGTGGTTTCAGTTATCCTTGGACAACCGAAATCCAAAAATATGGTACAGTAAGATGAGATATTTTGCAAATGGGAAAGACCACACTCACAAAACATTGATTACTGTAGAATGCCTTTTATAACTATTCTATTATTTTAATTGCTCATCGTTGTGCCTAATTTATAAATTAACCTTTATCATAGGTGTGTATTTATAGGGAAAACACAGTATGTACAGGGTTTGGTACTACCCACAGTTTTGGGCGTCTGAGAGATGCCTTGGATGGAATTGAGTCAGGCACTGGGCGGGGAGGGAGACTACAGTAAGCTGTTTTCTCTGGGAAATATCTACCTAACCTGATACAGTTATCCAAGATCAAAACGTGAGAGCAGAAAAACTTTTTTAAATAATTATTTTTATTTATTTTATTTTATTTATTTATTTGACAGGTAGAGTTATAGACAGTGAGAAAGAGAGAGACAGAGAAAAAGGTCTTCCTTCCATTGGTTCACTCCCCAAATGGTCGCAAAAAATCCTTATGACAAAGGCCTTAATTTAGAACAATAATGTATCAACCGGTATTTTTTGGACAACCTGCAGCTGAAAAACATTGTTAAAAAAAATGCAGATTCCAGGATCTAACTCAGGACTCACCGAGACTGGATATTTGTGGATAAGAGTCGCTGCATTTTTACCATTCCCCCCACCCCTGCTAGCCATTGCTTAGTTCACTGGTAACATTATGGCAAACATTCCAAACATGACTTCACAGAGATTAGGATAACAAAACAAAGATCTCTGAAAGTAAAGGACTTCTGCCCTTGGATTTCTGAAGGCCACCTTAACACTTGCTAATTTGGAGACAGGAAGCCAAAGAAGAAGGAAATAAAATGTCAATGTATTTGCCTTCAATCAGGTGTTTATTATTCAACACACTGCCCCCATGAAAGTTCCAAGTTCGTGGTTTTGTAGGTAATGGGAAATCTAGATTTGATTTATAGCTATAATTATGTTTTTTCCTCCCAGCTACGTAAGTTTCTTGCTGTGTTTCTCCACTTGGATTATATCATGTGGCAGTAACAATATTCTAGAATCATTTAAAACCAGACTTTAGGGACGGGCATTGTGGCTAAGCAGGTTAAGCAGCCAGCATCCCATATGAGCAGCAGTTGGATCCTAGCTACTTCAGCTCCCTGATAATGCACCTGGGAAGGCAGCAGAAGGTGGCCCCTGTACCTTGGCTCCTACCGCTCACAAGGGCGATCCAAGAGCTCCAGGCTCCAGGCTTCCCGCCTGGCCCAGCCCAGGCCTTTTCAACCATTTAAAGAGTGAACCAGCAAATAGAGGATATCTCTGTTTCTATCCCTGCAACTCTGCCTTTCAAATGAATAAATAAACCTTAAAAAACAAACAAACAAGATTTTACTTATAAGGAGATTTTCAGTTAAAAAAAAAAAAAAGCTAGTCCCACCCCAAAATAAATTGCCTTTATTCCAACTACCTGAATAGAGAGATAATGGGAGACAGAAAATGCCCAGCAACCAGCATCAGGATTTTGTGTAGGATTGGTCCCTACCCTATTAAGATAACCTCTCAGTTTGTGCTCAGTATTTAAATTTGAGTGATAAGAAACATATTTTAAAATACTGAGTTCTCATTTTAAAGTACCAGCTTAAGTATAATTTTAACTCACTGATAAATCAACTTCAAAAACATATTTTAAAAAATTTATTTGTAGCTTAAAATCCTAATATACTTAATTTTTTTATTTCCCTTCTAAACTTCATTTACTGACATATATATCTGATTTTAATGTAGTTGTAATCATGGTTTACCTGTGAGTACAAATTTGAACTCTATTTTTTTCTACCTTGTATTATTGTAAAAGTACATTTATGGATAGCACCAGAATTATTTTAAACTTTTTAAAAATTAAGTTGGTAATGCTGTATTTTAACCATCCCTGTATGTGGAGACATTCCTGTTGTATCTAGTTCCAGTGTATTATAAGTAACATGCCCTTATCTCTGTGTGTGCGGCTTCTTTCTTTTTAAAGTTTAGAGTAAATTTCCAGCAGTGGCTTAACAAGCTCAAAAGGCATTAATGTTTTTCTGAGTCCTATAATAACAGATTTCCTCCTTGCCTTTCACAAAAATAACAATTTTCACAACCACAACTTACGAGAAAAAGTCCTGGGTTCCTAAAAAGACTGTGAAGTATTTTTTTTAAATTTCATTTTGATACCTTACTATGAACACTAGTGTCTTAATTTTAATTTCTTCATTATGATTATTGATTTTAAGTTTCTAATATGCCAGGCACCATTCTAAAAGGTTTATGGAAGTAAAATTATGTTTTTCTGTAAGAATAATTTAAATAAACCTTCAAGATATGAATGTATGAAAACTTGCCCTCTCTGTATTAGACATCATAAAGTAAATTTTTAAATTTTACAAAAGTAAGTGATCCCACTTCATGGATGTAGAAAAGCCCAGAAAAACTTCTCTGAAAGAAAATAACACTATTCTAGATATTTCAGCATATTTAATTTTTATGCCTAAGAAGTTAACTCAAATAAATCATTGCTTCTTTTACTAAGAAACACTTTTTTCAGGATTAGACAGTTCATTTAACCCACATTTTCTTTCCTTAAAATGACTGTGTGGAACTTTAAAGTCTACTGAAAGGAACGGGGGTGGGGGGGATGGGGGATGAAAAAAAATACAAGATGACAATACTACTACTTAAAAAAATTTAAGAAAGTCATGCAATAAATGACGTACCTGATCTCACCAAGCACAGCAAACTGATGAACAAATAAAATCTCAGCATATGGAAACTGGAGAGAATACTTGTCACAGTCACTGGAACGATTCCTTCGCGCGGAGCTTTAGGTTTCCCCTGGTTCTGCTCTCGGCGAGCTCAGATAACTAATCCAGAGGTGCGGTGACAACAGGAAGTTCCAAGGGACAGCTTGCGGGCGGGTCCCACCCCTTTCAGGATCTTTGGCTCCTCCTCTTTTCAATAAAAGTTCAGGTACTTTCTACCTGACACAATTTTATGCATATCTGAATATTGTAATTTGTATTTGCAGAATGACGAGTTCAAAATAGTTTCATTCTTTGTGGGCGGTTTATTAGTCGTTTGGCTTGGTGTGTTGAAATCCAGTGTGATTTGAGACCTTCCCACCACCCCCCTTGTTCTTGTGAATGAAATAACAAATCTAGTTAGTATTCTGTTGGCTTGTATATACAAACCTACCTTTAATGTTAATTCACACACCACATTCATTCCTCATAAAGCAGTCTTTACTGAGGATATTTCATTATGTCAAATTATATATTTGTCAACATATATCTATGCTTCAGATTAAACTTTTTTTTTTGTATTAGCACTTTTGCTTCTTCCTATGCAGAGTTACAATTTCTCTGTTGTTTTTTTTTTTTTTTAGTGCCTACTTTTTTTCTTTATTTATTTGTTAGACACAGAGAAAGATATATTGTCCATTCTCTGTCTGATTCATTCCCCACAAGCTGTTAACAGACAGGGCTGGGCCAGGCTGAAGCCAGGAGCCAGGAACTCTATCTGGGTCTCCTGTGGGGGTAGCAAAGGACCCAAGTACTTGAGCCATCATCTGCTGCCTCCCAGGGTGTGCATGAGAAGGAAAGTGGATCAGAAACAGAGCCAGGACCCAGATACTTCTGATCTGGGTTGTGGGCATCCCAAGCAGCAGCATAACTGGGCTCCATCTGCTTCTGCTGTGCCAAATTACCTGCCCCTCTAATAATTTTTTTTAAAGAAGAGTAAATGCAAAAAGTTAAAACCAAAACTAAGCTGGAATCTAATCATCTGGTAATAGAAGCAACCAAAGCTATGTGCCTCAGCTACAGAATAATTTAATTCCCTTTCTGGTAGAAGCACTTGCAACATTTATTCAGGTTTCTGATGGTCCAGTGAGCTTAAAAAGAAATTAATAGGGCTGGCTTCATTGCTTAGTGAGTAAAACTGCCACGTGGGACACCAGTGTCCCACACTGACACTGGTTCTTGTCCCTGTTGCTCAACTTCTGATCCAGCTCCCTGTTAATCGCCAGGGACAAGCAGTGAAAGATGGCCCAAGTGCTTGGGCCCCTGCACCCAAGTGGGAGACCCAGGTGAAGCTCCTGGCTTTGACCTGGCCCAGCCCTGGCCTTTGTGGCCATCTAGGGGGTGAACCAGTGGATAGAAGATCTCTTTCTCTCTCTCTCTCTCTCTCTCTCTCTCTCTCTCTCTCTCTCTCTTCCACTCCCTCCCATAACTCTGACTTTCAAATAAATAAATAAATGTAAAAAAAAAAAAAGCACAATTTTTTTTGACAAGCAGAGTGGACAGTGAGAGAAAGAGACAGAGAGAAAGGTCTTCCTTTGCCGTTGGTTCACCCTCCAATGGCCGCCGTGGCCGGGATATTGCTTTTTTTTACGGTTTATTTATTTAATTGAAAGGCAGAGTTACAGAGAGGCAGAGTTAAAGCGGGAGAGAGAGAGAGAGACACTCCATCTGCTACTTCACTCCTCAGAGGACCCCAGTGGCTGGGGCTGAGCCGATCTGAAGCCAAGAGCTTCTTCCGAATCTCCCATGAAAGTGCAGGCACCGGGGCACTTGGGCCACCTTCTACTGCTTTCTCAGGCCATTAGCACAGAGCTGGATCAGAAGTGGAGCAGCCAGGACTTGAACTGGAGCCCATATGGGATGCTGGCACTGCAGATAGTGGTTTTACCAGATACACAATAGCACTGGCCCTGTAATATAAAATTCTTAACCATCAGTTTGACAAAGATACAAACAAACACAAAATGATATTTTCAGCAATACTGATATGCACAGACATTTATTTTTTCTCTTTCTTCTGTGTTTTTTTTTTTTTTTAAATTTTAGCTCCCATGTATAAGGGAGAACTTGCAGTATCTTTGTTTCTGGGTCCAGTTTATTTCACTCAACATGATGTTCTCTAGTTGCATGCATTTTGCTGCAAATGGTAGAATTTCATTCTTTTTTA